GGCTGTGACATGGTTGAACGCACCACGAAAGTCGGAATCGTTGGTAAATATGGGACTTGCTACGGTGCCTCCCTCCAGAAAATGGTGAAGAAAATTGAAATCAGCCAGCACATCAAGGACCTCTGCCTGGACCTCTGACACCACTTCTGCTGTCACAGTGAAGTCCGACATCCGAGGACTAAAGGATTAAAAGAACAGTGGAGGCTCCTCTCCTCTTTGAGACATCACTAGCCTATAATAAATGGGTTAATTTATGAAAAAAAAAAAAAAAGACAATCAGCTGGGTACAGTGTCTCACGCCTGTACCCCCAGCACTTTGGGAGGCTGAGACGGGTGGATCACCTGAGGCCAGGAGTTTGAGAGCAGCCTGAACAACAGGGTGAAACCCCATCTCTACTAAAAATACAAAAATTTAGCCAGGCGTGGTAGTACGTGCCTGTAATCCCAGCTACTTAGGAGACTGAGGCAGGAGAATCGCTTGAAACCACTGGGTGGAGGTTGCAGTGAGCCGAGATTGCACCACTGCACTGTAGCCTGACAACAAGAGCGAAACTCCTCAAAAAAAAAAGATAACCTTACACACACACACACACACACACACACACACACACACAAAGTTGAGGCCAGGAGTCCAGAATTCTTTTCATGTGTTATGTTTTTATGTTTTATTTTGAGAGACAGGCCTTGCTCTGTCACCAGGCTGGGCTGCAGTGCACCATCACAGCTCACTGCAGCCTGGAACTCCTTGCCTCAAGCAATCCTCCCACCTCAGCCTCCTCAGTAGCTAGAGCTACACATGGATGACACCATATCCAATTAATCTTTTTTTAAAATTTTTTAGAGCCAGGGTCTCACTGTGTGGCCCAGGATGGGATCTCAAACTCCTGGCCTCAAGCAATCCTCCCGCCTCAACCTTCCGAAGTGTTAGGATTACAAGCATGAGCCACCTTGCCCGATTAAGAGTCCAGAATTCTAATCCTGACTCAGGCAGAGCCTCCTTGGGAGATCTGAGGCCAAATGCTTGCTTCTCTGAACCTTGAGTTCTCAAGCCGTAAACTTGGATTGGACCAGGAGCTTTCTAAGGTCTCATGTAGTTCTGAAATGTTATAAAGAGACCATTGCCACCCAAGACAAGACTGCACAGTGTTACTTGCCTAGAATGTCATGGAGCCCCTTTTCCAAGCCTGGGTGTAGTTCCTGAAATGTCTTTTTTAGCAAAAGGAAAAATGGATTGAAAAACACAAGACAGGCGTCTACATCTGATTCCCCACCAGGGACAGAGTTCAAATAACGATGAGGAGAAAAAATATGAATGGATTCAAAGCTTACAAATAAAGGAGCCAAAAAAGTCACCTTAGATCTCAAAACGTCCTTCACAGCGTGTGCCATAAAGAGGCCGGAACAGACGAGAGGTGAGACTAGACATGATGTCACTCTGCGTTTAGAGAGGAACGTGGCACACAGAGGCTGGCGCTATTTCGGTTTGCACATGGAGAGACATCCTGTCATGGGATATTATATTCTGTATGGGCACCTCCAAGTGCAGGAACCAGAAGGACTCCAGAGGGGTGACAAAGGATGGGAAGCCAAGAACCAGCACCGGGGCTGACATATGAGCAGGGTGAGCCCCGAGCCTGGCACCTCGGAGGGAGGCGTGCGGCCGATGTTGGCTGAACAAGTAACTCAGAATGAACAGTGGGCAGGAGCAACGCCAGGTGAGGAAATGTTTAATTTCTGAAATGTGAATATATATGTGTCCAGGGTGAGACCAGCCTGGTCAATAGATACACGTGAGTCTTTAGGAAACTGTAAGGCCAACTCCTGGACCAAGAATCTGAGCAAAACATTTCACATAAAAGTAAATGTCCACAGAATCACAAACAGGAAGTGTACCCTGGTTACTGGGAATGGTGAGATGATTTGCCAGAAGGATTACCAAGAGCACAATCAAAAACCATTCCATTTCCACGTAATTTCCATTACCAGAGCTGCCTCGTGGTCCCTCCTGCATCTGCAGAGGTCTGTGCGTGTCTCTAGAGTTGACCGTCTGTGTGGTCAGGCCATGGCGATGAACAAGGAGGCGCTGGTGGCCTCAAGAGCTCCTTCCTGACCTTGCAACTCTAGCATCTGAAGAAGGCAGTCATTTAAAATGAACGAAAAGGCTTAGGTTTGGGAAAATTTGATCATTCTGTTAGTCTGTCAGCAAACTTCTTGAGCTTCTAAGGTAGACAAAATACTGAATTAGTGAGGGGGTTGACAAAAGAAAAGGCATGTTCTTTTGAAGCTCAAATCACAATATAATTAGTAACTAACAAGTGTTAAAATAACAAACCAAGAGATGTACAGGACTGATCTGCAAACATGATTAATGCTTATCGGACATTCTGCTGTGCCCAGCGTGAGTTCAAACACAGTGGAAGAGTATTCCTTGGGAAGGAGTTTGGAAGGCTGTGATGGAAGCAGGCCTTTGTCAAGCACCCTGCAAGACCAGATGTCCTGTGTGTGATCTTCTCTAACCCCAGAAGTCCTGGAAGCAAGGTAAGTAGGTCAGTCCTGGTATGCAGGTGAGGAAACAGCCTCCGTGAAGTTAGCCACTTGCTTGAATTATAGCTAATGAGCGAAGGAGCACAGATTCAAATCCAAACTGGCTTCCCAGTGCAAGCCCCTCCCACCATTCTCCATGGCCGCACGATGCACCTAAAGGATGAGGTCAGATAGAAATCGGTTATAGAATGTGTCAGCTGTGGACAACGGTCAATGAGAAGGTAAGAGACGCAACCCGAGAGACCTTCCCACAGGAGGATGATTCCAAGTGCGGCACTGTGGGGAGCTTTGCCCATGGACTGCGAGTTCACTGGCAGATTAGCCCTGATTTATTTTTATTTTAACTTTTAAAAATGCGACAGATAATCATTGTACATATTCATGGGGGTACACAGTGGTGTTTCAATACCTCTAATGTATAGTGATCAGATCAGGGTAATTAGCATATGCATCATCTCAAACATTTATCATTTATTTGTGTCGAGAGCAGTCAATAGTCTCCTTCTAGCTGTTTGCAAGTACATAATATATTACTGCTAATTCTAGTCATCCTGCAGTGAGCACTAGGGCTGGTCTCTACAAGAGCTTGGCACTGCCTTTCACAGGGCTTTCTTTTACTGCAACGTCCTCAAGCAAGATCCACCTGCGAACCCAGGGCAAGCTGGGTAGGAAATACCGAAGGTGCCTGGGTCACACTGGGGGTGAACAGGGAAGAGGGCACACCCTGGGTGGGTTCCACCTATTTCACTTTCCAAAGATTCTGCCTGTAAATCAGAGATTGGGATCCCGGAAGCAGACATCTTTAAAGGCTTTCTTTACACTTTGTTCACTTGGGACTAAAACCCAAGTTGTCAGAACCCAAGGGCTACTTGCCTGGTAGTCCTTCTCCCAGAGAGGGAAAATCTGAGGCTTCTGGTAGACCTGTTTCCTCTCTCTGGCTCCATGTTGGTTTCCATTGCCATTTCTCCCTTCCCATGGAGAACAGGGCAGCATGGGTTATTAGTTCCAGAGATGAAAATTTTATCTTCTCCCAGTGGGAACTTGCTGCAGGCATAGGGTTGAACTGGAGTCAATTCCGAATGTGAAGGTCATGTTTAAGAGCCTTGAAGGTTCTGATAACACTATATAATATTTCCACATTGTAATATTAAGTTCTAGAAGTAAAAAATGGATCAAAATACAACTCTTCAGTATTATGGTTCCCGGGGGACCCACTACTTTGGGCCCTCGAGCCTTTCAGAGGCCTTGACTCACCAGCCCTAACCTAGCGCGGAGTGCCAGGTCTGATTGTCAGCCTCAACTATATGTCACAATGTGACATGAGAAAAGCCACTTAGCCTCTCTGTGCCTCAGTTCCAGATCTAAAATCTGGAAATTCCATGACCCAACCTCCAGAGCTCTGGCTACAATGCCTTCAATAGGACATTCTGCATTAAACATGGACATGGGTAATTAAACCTCATTACATATGTGTTGAATGAATGAATGAATGAATGAATGAATGAATCCCAGTCAGGCCTCCAAAAACCATTCCCTTTCCTTGAAAACTTTGAAAGAACAATCAAAGGCAAAGTTCAGCAACAAAACACTGGAGACTTTGATTTGCTGTCACTGAACAAGTCAAAAAATCTTAGTAAGAGGCACTTGAACATTTTAAGTATCATCTTGTGGTAATAATGACCTCTCATGCATATTTATGTACTTAGCTTTATAATAACCACTTGAAAGACTAGGTTTCTCCCCCCCAGGGAATGAAGCTATGTGAAGTGTAACAAAATATTTCAAGTTCAAAGGTCCAAATATGTAAGATGTAAAATTCTGGAATTCCTTCCTCAAGTAGAAAGCACCTTGGTGCTCAAGCCAGCCCAAGGACATGTTGATTTGGGGAGTGTCTGGACCCTCAACTAAGCCTGGAGAGTCCTCGGACACACGTCTCCCCTGCACGCAGCGCTCTTCCTAAGGAGCACTGGCCGGCCTTGCTGACGTGTATACACTTAGTCTGAGTCAAGACAGGTGAGGCTTCGGGGGGAGAAAGCTGGTTCTTAGTGAGGTGTTCCACAGAGAATTCCAAACAGGCTCCACCGCCAGAGCAGCTCTGCAAAACCCTTGTGTTACAGTTACCCAGTGTCATTCATTATCCTCTCAAAGTAAAATCATATGACCCCATTTCCTCAGTAAGTTAATTACTTTATTCCTTTGTATGAGGCAAAACACTACTTTTATTGTTAATTAATATACTAAAATTAGATTATACCATTCTGGACATGTGAAATTGAGTTTAGTACTTTCAAATATATATTTTTAAAGGCATCTAAAAATAAATGGCTTAGATGCCTTTTCTCTTTCCAGCTGAGCATAAATTTCCTTCATGTGAAACTCCATCTCTTCCTGCTGTTGTAAATGACATAATGCCATTTATTTTTCAAAGGGAAAAGAACTCATAATGAGACATTCAGTTCACATTTCAAAATTCATATATTTAATAGTTGAGGAAAAAACAAAAAATACAACAAAAGAAAATCATCCATAGGTTTCAGGAGCAAAATCATTAAATGGAAAAGCGAAAAGAATTCTTTATTTTTGGACCACTTTTAGGCACTTAAGACTTTTCTTCTTTTCCCCTTGATTAAAGTGAAGATACGATAGGAAATTCCGAAGTTTTTCTTCTTGAAGAAAAGCAGAGATAACGTGTCCATCCTAGAGAAAGAAACACGAATGACTCATCCGACAGTGGACACAAAATGACTTCTTGATTCCCTTAGTTCTTTCTGCTGTAAAGAAATTCCACCTGATACATCTAGCCCTAGCACACTGCTAATTACTTTTCTATTTATTCAGTAGCTCTGCAAGTGGAAAGCAATCAATTGCCAGGGAATTCTTTGACTCCTATGCTGAGTAGATGGCATTCCTATCCCAGCTGCTTGAAGACAGCCAAGGCCTAACTTTATCTCATTGCCAGGTCAAATTAGCACCCAACAGGCCCTAAGGGATTTTTTTTTAACCTTCACTGCAAAAGACCAATAGTTCTTAGAAGTCAATACACTGATCCTGGGCCTTCTCTTCTTGTTTGATCAGCCCCTACTTCTTTTCCCCTGATGACAATAGGAAGGACTAAATGTAGAGTTACCGGGCAGGGAGAGGGGCTTTATGCTAGATCCAATGGTCAGATCTTAGCCTTTCAATCCATGATGCAAGATGCACTTTTAAAAATGGGCTGGGCCGGGCGCGGTGGCTCACGCCTATAATCCCAGCACTTTGGGAGGCCGAGGTGGGTGGATCACGAGATCAAGAGATCGCGACCATCCTGGTCAACATGGTGAAACCCCGTCTCTACTAAAAATACAAATAAGTAGCTGGGCATGGTGGTGTGTGCCTGTAATCCCAGCTACTCGGGAGGCTGAGGCAGGAGAATTGCTTGAACCCAGGAGGTGGAGGTTGTGGTGAGCCGAGGTCACACGACTGCACTCTAGCCTGGGTAACAGGAGCGAAACTGCATCTCAAAAAAAAAAAAAAAGTGCTGTGTTGGCCGGCCGCGGTGGCTCACGCCTGTAATCCCAGCACTTTGGGAGGCCGAGGCGGGTGGATCACGAGGTCAGGAGTCCGAGAGCAGCTGACCAACATGGTGAAACCCTGTCTCTACTAAAATACAAAAATTAGCCGGGCGTGGTGGCCCGGGCCTGTAGTTCCAGCTCCACAGGAGGCGGAGGCAGGAGAATCACTTGAACCGGGGAGGCAGAGGTTGCCATGAGCCGAGATCGCGCCACTGCACTCAAGCTGCAAGACTGAGCGAGACTGTCTCAAAACAAACGAACAAACAAACAATGTGCTGTGTCTCTCAGAGAGGAACAAGAGTGTGAGTTCACATCTAAATAACTAGGAGGTTTCCAAGTCCACAATACGGCTTTATTCCTTGGCCCCAGGTTTTCATCAGGCAAACGTGTGAATCTGTGGCCACATTAATAGGAGCCTGCTGCGCTTCTACACTCCGGGGTCATTTGGTGGTCAGCTCCAAGGAAAACAGAGGCAGAGATAAGACTTATCTTTGCAACGCCCTCAGGGGTTTTCCAGGAACTGGAGAAGCAGCTGCAGATGCCACGGAGGTCCAGCCAAAGGTAGTTACTTAAGCAAAGAGAAAGGAGCACAAATCTGATGACAATGAAAAATTAACTCACATTGCGTTTCCCTCTAACAACAGGGTGAGGTCTCTCGAGCATGCGTCTCTCACTACAGAGTTGAAAATAAGGCTGTCTCCATGTCAGTCTTCTCTCATCTTGCTTGCTTTTCTGTTGTGTTTGTTTTCCAGGAAGACTGCAAGACTTCTTCCAGAAGAATGAAGTAAGTCCTGAGAAGAGGGGCAGGTAAAGGAGAGCAGGGGAAAGGCAGGCTAGCAAAGAACACTGGGCTTGCCGTTTCCACCTTTTGGTTAGACTCACTCCTTTATTCAAGTTTTATACAAATGACAGGCTGAGCATGCAGGGACCCCCTGATGGAAGCCTAGAAGCTCAGGGGTGCTCTTGCCCTGGCCATCTGGGGCCTGCCTTGGTCCAGCTGGGCCCCTCTCCAAGCCTTCTGGAGCTTGCCCAGCCTCTGAGCCCCGGCCACTGCCCGTCCCCTGTGTGGCGGTGGCTTCCCCACCACTCACTCACCCAAGGCCTCCATTCCCTCCAGCCTGCAGTGATGCCCTTGCTCCTCTGCCTTGAGAAAGGCCTGCCCTGCTGTAATTCCTAGAGTGTGTCTGGTCGTCTACGGGACCTGGTGTGACACCTGGTAACCATAACCTCAGCAAGGGAAAGGGGGACCAGGGCACTCATCCTCTCTCTAAGCTCCCTGCCACCAGATGTCAAGCTCTCACCCTATCCCGCTGCTCTGTGGATTCCCTTTCTATTTCCTTCCACTTCCTGCATGGTGGGACCTTCCTGTCCTCTTTCTTTCCTCTTCCTAGCTCCCCTGCTCCCTGCTGTAGCTCTGAATCCCACCCAGTTCTTCAATGAGCAGAGTTTTTAGGGTGTCCACTGAAGCCTCTAAGTGATGGGACATGTCCATCAGACTTTCCAAGACTCCCTTCCCCCGGGCTGACTCCTCATCCATCTCCCCTTCTCTCCTGACTTGGTGGTGCTAGCCATTCTCCTCATCCTCGACCCTGTCCATGTGGACAAACACCATCTCTTTATGGGAATGTTGCTTTTACCAGGGCTACGATTAGACTCTCTCTCCTTTTTTTTCCCTCCTGGTGCGATAGTCAATTATGCATCAGAGTCTATTAATCTTATAAACAGTTATGGAGCTGAAGAGGCTGAATCGAACAGCTGAGGCTTTCAAGAAGTTGGAGTACCGGGGCCATTATTATAATGAAGTTCTGTGATGTATAATCATGTCTCTGGGTGACCAGGCACAATTCTTTAAGTCTGAGAAATTGTAAATGATGTGAATTTTTTGTAACGTTTACAAAGCAGCCTCTTCAAAGTTTGTGCTCATAGCTATGACCCCAGGTCCCCTCTCTGGGGGGAGCACCTCCCTAAGCCCCATCAGCCAGTCTGTGGCACCTTCATCCCTGATGGGCTGGCAGATTCCATGGTCTACAAGGCACTTCCTCCTCCTCCTGTCCTGCCCACACAGGGATTGGGAAAGAGGACAGCTGGGCTGCAGAAGAAGGATGTGATGCTGTCCTCTTCTACTGAGACCTGTTTGTTTGTCTATCTCTTAAATTTGGTTCAGTAGCATTAAAGAAAAGGGAATTTATCTTTCTCCCCAGATGCAACCAACAGATGCTGGGGAGCAGAGACCTTGCATAGTCAATAAAAGATAAGTTATAAAATCTATAAAACTGCTGAAAGAAATCAGAATTTCAGCAAATTCTGTTTTTTTTCGGGCTGCTCCTTTTGATCAACAATGGCGAGAAGGGGGAAAAGCTAGTCATGCATAAACTTCCATCTGTTATTACAGCGTGGAATGAATGTGGTTAGACGAGGAACAGAGGACAGAGTGATATTTGAGCTGTGATATTGACAGAGTAGAAATGGAGAATGGTGCCAGTGATAAAGACAAAGCTGTCATAATCAATTAGCATTTAACTTTTTGTAAAGATCTTAGAGGCGATGGGTTCTTTAGATTTTAATGTGCATCTTCAAAGTAATTTTGTAAGCTATTTAAATGATGCTCCCTTTTTACAACTCTACATAATTTGATTACACAAACCATCCTGCAATCCTTGGATATGCAAATGCAACATCAAAATGATTTTTTCCCATATTTTGACAGAATTTGATGTTCGTTGCAATGATAAGAAGTGACACAAATTGCAGCAAGGCATCAGTAACTCATTCATCTGGCACGCTTTGGACATTCAGATTTTAAATGCCTGCTTGTTGAGAATCACCCTTAAGAATAACAATTTAGAAACCAAAGACAGGGCAGCAACTGGTGTTTGGAGAAAATTGCCTTAGATTCTGATCCCACGGCCACTAAGATGCTGAGCTTGTGAATGAGTCTCTCAGAGCCTCAGTTTTCCCATCTGTAAAATGAGAATAATAAGGTGTAGATCACAGAAAGGTAGTGAGGGTGAGCAGTTAGAGTGAAAACACCTGGTGCTCATATAGCCCCAGCAGCTGCCATTACTTTACCACTGCTACCATGTGTACAACCACTAATACAAATCTGGGTTATTTCTTTGGCAAAATTAGGTTTCAAACAAGTATCACGTGGTGTAGCGATGCCAAGATTATGCCGGTGGCTGTGCTTTTGGGTGATCTGAGAGGAAGGGACAATCGTGAAGCTTCTCTGAGGAGTCCTCATGGGGGGAGTCCCAGCCTCCAATGGCCGACCTCCCATTCGCCCATTCCTTCTGCATTTAAGCAACTCCTTCAGTGGAACAGACAGTGTGCTAAGTGCTGAGGATGGAAGCGTGTAGAGTAGCAGGAATCCTCCTTGACCTCTAGGTTCGTAGTCTAACCAGGGTGGACATACAATTACATTCTCATAAATAAGCACGGAATGGGTGCAGACCAATCAAACTCCACAGCTGGCAGGGTGAGGACATCGAAGCTGCCTGGGGCAGTCACAGTAAACCTGACAGGGGAGGCGATGTTTGCACTGCAGCATAAGAGTCAGATCACTAGGCAGAGCACCTCGAGAAGCCCGCTCCCATCCAAGCAGGGCTGGAGGCAGGGGCGGTTTGACCACAGGACATTTGGCATTGTCTACAGACATTTTTGATTGTCCTGACTTGGGGGTGCTACTCTAGTGAGTCGAGGCCAGTCAGGGACGCGGCAACAATGCCCAGGACAGCCCCTGCAGGAGAATAGTCACCCACCCCCAAGGTTAATGGTGCCCAGATGGAGACACGCTGAGTTACAGGAGCAGTGAGTGCAGAGTGGCAGGTCCCAGAGTGCACTGGGCGTCCCAGGGACTCAGTGTGGCCCCAGCCCTTCCAGTGCAGGGATGGAGGCTGTGCACATGGCAAGGTCGAACCTTGGAGGATCTGGAGGCCATCAGGAGGGAGGGTTTTGTACTGTTTCTCTTTATACTTCCCCTAAAGGAGCCCCATTGTTAGAGAAAACTAAACTCGTCCCCCTTAATGAGTAGCAATAATGTGAAGCACCAAAGTTCCTATATTATCCTAGATTCAGGGAAATTTTGCTTCCTTTCTTAATTAAAATGAAAAATAATGGTGTCTTTTTCCACTAGAACTTTAAATAAAATCAGTCCTTCAGGAAGACAAGCACTCATGAGGAACCCAGGTTGAGACACGTGAACAGGAAAGGCCCGAAGGGTTTGGAGCAAGGGACTGGTGTGGGCAGATGTGTGGGTTCGTGTCCTTCTTCCCACAGGTGGCACCAGAGTGGGCCAGCTCAGCAGAGCTGACGAAACCCCCACAAGACTGACTCGTGGTCGGGCGCCTTTGAGATCCGTGGTCACAGCTCTACTTTTGAGCTGTTCCCCAGCAGCTGTGGGATCAGAGGAGTGGGTGCATTACTAGAAAGAACACTGGGCCGGGCTTGGTGGCTCACACCTGTAACCCAGCACTTTGGGAGACTGAGGCGAGCGAATAACCTGAGGTCAGAAGTTCGAGACCAGCCTGACCAACATGGAGAAACCTCGTCTCTACTAAAAATACAAAATTAGCTGGGCATGATGGCACATGCCTGTAATCCCAGCTACTTGGGAGGCTGAGGCAGGTTGTGGTGAGCCGAGATTACACCATTGCACTCCAGCCTGGGCAACAAGAGCAAAACTCCATTTCAAAAAAAAGAAAAATAAGGAAAGCACACTGTACTGAGATGCCAGCAGCTCTAAAGAGCTGGGTGTGAAGAACTCCGAGCCTTCTGGTTCTAAGCCTTTCTGGTAGCTGTTCATGTGACAGTGTCAACTGGGAGTCAACAGAGTCCTGGCTGGCCCTTGCCCACCAGCAGCACAATACTGGGCTGGAAGGAAGCCCGGTCGAATTTAACAGCAGTGAGTTTGATTTTCCACTTCAAGTTCATTCCTTTGAGTCTTGAGAGGTGTTTGGGCCTTCAAGAATCCATGGTGATACAAACCTCCCAAATCCCTTATCAGGCAACATTTTAGGCTTCAGAGAACCCTACGAGCTGGTCCTGGAGCTGGCCCCAAGGGGATGTGTACACTGCCAGTTGCTGAGCTGCTCCTGGGTTCTGCGGAACTGATGCCAGAAAGATTCAGGTCAGATGCATATTGACCAACTTTTGATCTTTTTTTTTTTTTTTTTTTTTTTTTTTTTTTTGGGACGGAGTCTCTCTCTGTCACCCAGGCTGGAGTGCAGTGACACAATCTCGGCTCACTGCAACCTCCACCTCCCGGGTTCAAGCACTTCTCTTGCCTCAGCCCCCCGAGTAGCTAGGATTACAGGTGTGCACCACCACACCCAGCTAATTTTTGTATTTTTAGTAGAGACAGGGTTTCACTATGTTTGCCAGGCTGGCCTCGAACTCCTGACCTCAGGTGATCCACCTGCCTCAGCCTCCCAAAGTGCTGGGATTACAGGTGTGAGTCACCGCACCTGGCCACTTTTAATCATTTTTGAGCATTAACAACTTGGATTTGTTACATATGAAATACTCATAAGTTGGCTTAATTTCACATTTTTATTGATTGATGCAGAGAAAGCCGTATCTCAGCAATACCAGTTATTTTTCCCATTAAAAAGATCTTTTTCTGATATTCATCTTTGCCGGGCTACCAGACTGCATCTCATTCTGCGGACTGTCACCCCAGCAGCTCCTGAGAACAAAGCCCACGGAGCCCCCTGTAGCACAGCACGGCAAGCTCAGGCCCCTCCCAGTGGGGGCAACGCAGCTTTAGTCCCCCTCCCGGAGCCAGAGCCTTAATGAGGACCTCTGGGTCCTGGGGGCAGTCTCAGGCTCCTGCCAGCCACCACACCTGGGATCTGAGGCCCACGGGCTTCTCCTGGCAGCACGCTGTGTATACCACACTGAGGGTGTTTGACTCCGTACCACCTGTGAGGCCCTGTTCTAGGGACTCTTCCGGGATCATCTCTTTCACCCTCCCAGGGGCTCTATGAGGAAGCCACCATCATTTCCAGCTGAAGGTGTGGAGGCACCAAATAAAAGCCCTGCGGGAGGGGCCGCGGTGGAGCAAGCTTTCAAGTCAGGTAGTCTTGCTCTCAAGCGCAGGTTCCCGGCCGCCAGGCCAACAGTGCCCCACGTGTGGTCTGGGGACCCTAGGCATCGCCCTTTCAGAGGGTCTCCAAGGTAAAAACGCCTGCTAAGTCACACTGAGATGTCACTTGCCACTTTCACTTAATACTCTCTGGGGCAGCCTGGCGCCAGCTGCTAAAAGAATGGTCACAACATCGCTCTGACAACTGATGGAACTTGTGCTTGTGTGTTCTTGTATCTGTAAAATGTCTCAGTCTGAATTTCGAATGAGGTGAATATGGATAGATACAGGCCACCACCTTGGGGTCCTGAATAATTTTTAAGAGGGCAAAGAGGTCTCTCAACAGAGAGGTCTGGAAGCTGCGGCTCTGTGCTGCTCACCTTCAGACCTGCCCCTGCGCTGGCCTTCCTGCCTGCAGGCCCAGCAGCCTGAAGCCCAGTTCCCAGTCCCAGGCCCTCCCTGAAGCCCGGTGCCCTTGGGCCACCTCCTTCTCACCTAACTCCTGAGAGCTCTGTCCTAGACCCCAGTTGGGGTGATGTCGCCAGCTTCCAAATATGTCCAAAGTATCCATGTCTATGCCAGGCTGGTCAGTCCTGAGCTGATCACACTCTCTCTCTTAGGAATCTGAAACTGGAACGGGAAGACAGCCTGGACACCTCTGGAGGGGCAGCATGGTAACGGCGGTGTCGCAGAAAACAGCAGAATCTAGCTAGCTCATGTCTAGCTCTGGCTCCCCTGTCGGTTCCTGAGTGGACTGTGCATCTCTGCTGTGAATTCTCTGACCTACCCCATTAGCTTCACATATCCATATGTCACTGAAGGTTGCTCAGGGGGAAAAAAAGGGGAGGGAAGCTTAACTAATAGGAAAAATTTAGTAGACCTTCCCATTGTCTCTCCTTATTGTAGTGTACTAATTTACTGTTGGGCCCTGTCACCTGCCACATCCCTCATCTCCTGCCTGGAATCACCATAGTGTCTCTGTCACTGGCACTACCCACATAGCCACCAGTCCCACACGAGCGCCACGGCACATCAGGCCTGCCCGCCCCAGTGGTGGTCGGCTTCCTCCTCCTCCTGCGCCTCCCACATGTCCTGAAAGGAAACGCTGGGCCTCCAGCATGAGTGTTAGGATGAGATGGGGAAGCCTTCGGTATGACTGACCTACGCGGCCCTTAGAATAATGTATTCATTTGGCTCAACCTCCCACTGAGAAAACTGAGCACCTCCTTCCCCGGAGCAGCGCAAATGATGCACAAAATCCTCCCCTAGAAATAAGCTGGCCCTTATGCAGCAAGAGAAGTTTCTGTTTGTTTTTGAGACAGTTTCTCTCCTGTTGCTCTGGCTGGAGTGCAGTGGCAGGATCTCAGCTAACCACAACCTCTGCCTCCTGGGTTCAAGTGTTTCTCCTGCCTCAGCCTCCGGGAGTAGCTGGAATTAACAGGCACCTGCCACCATGCCTGGCTAATTTTTGTGTTTTTAGTAGAGACAAGGTTTCACCATGTCTGCCAGGCTGATCTCAAACTCCTAACCTAACGTGATACACCGCGTCGGCCTCCCAAAGTGCTGGGATTACAAGCATGAGCCACCGTGCCCAACTGAGAAAGTTTAATTAAAAGAAAAATTGCAAACGTTAACTATGAAGTAACAGGAAAGATGTGTCATTTGCATGTTCCACCATGAGCGTTCCTTTCTTGCTCTTTATCATGGAGGGTGGGGGCTGTTGAGTGGTGGCTCCCAAAAGATTCCGTTTCCTCACTCAGGAGCCTGTGAATGTGGCCTTATTTGGAAAAGGTGCCCTTGCAGGCATAATGAAATTGAGGGAGCTGAGACCGTCGTGGGTTACCCAGGTGGGCTCCAAATCCAGTGATCAGTGTCCTTATCACACGCACACAGGGGAGAGACAGAAGAGGGGAAGCCCATGTGAAGACGGAGATGGCCTGGAGTGGCGTGGCCACAGGCAGGGGACTCATGCAGTCCCAGAAGTGAGAAGAAGCAGGAACGGAATCTCTGTTAGAGCCTGTGAGGGAAGCTCAGCCCTGCTGTCACCTCGATTTCAGAGTTCTGCCTTCCGGAAGTGCGAGAAGCTAGATTTCTGCTGTCTTAGACCAAATGCAGTGGCTCAGCTGGTAATCCCTGCACTTTAGGAGGCTGAGGCGAGAAGGACCAGATCAGCCTGGGTGACACAGTGAGCACCCATCTCTACAAAAAGATTTTTAGAAAATTAGCTGGGCATGGTCGCAGGTGCCTGTGGTTCCAGCTACTTGGGAGGCTGAGGCTGGGAGGATGATTTCAGCCTGGGAAGTTCAGGCTGCAGTGAGCCAAGACTGAACCACTGACTCCAGCCTGGGTGACAGTGAGACTGTCTCAAAATAAATAAATAAAAATAAAATATATTTCTGTTGTCTTAAACCACCAAGATTGCAGTGTTAGTTACGGCAGTCCGAGGAAATAAGTGCCCTCCGAGACTGGGGGAGCCTGTGATGCCAGGCGTGCCCTCCTGCTGGTCGACCCTCTGCTTCTACGAAGCACCCCACAGCACCACGCAGAGCTCTGGGCAGCCCTGGCCATGTCACTGAGCACTCACTCAGCGACACAGGAGGGTCCTGTTCCCTTCCTTCCTCACAGCCGCAAAGAGGACAAACCCCGCCGCGTGGCCACCTTCTCCTGATGCACGTCAGACTCCTGTCCACTCTACTGCTTTCTGCAATGTTCTGGAGTTGCCCAGCGATGCCACAGCCTTCCTTAGTCATGATGACTATCTAGACTTTGCTTTCAGTATTATTATTATTATTTGGGTACAACTGTCAAGACCCATGTGAGTTTCAGCAAAGAACAAAGAGGAATTTACTCTTGAGATAAACAGGAGCTGAGGGCCGGAAGCCCCGCCAGGCCTTCCAAGGCTGGAGAGCAGACGGTAAGGAGCCTCCCAGGCCCCAGGCCTGGGTTCCCCACAGGGTGCTGCTCCCTCTCTGTGGCCCAGCTTCCCTAACCTCTGTCCA